ATAGTCTTTCCTTATTTCATATTTTCGATATATTATGGTCTCGATTACATGTCAATACTTATCCCATATCCCTACATACATCCACTGAAAAGACGGATACTTGAAACAAAGTGAATTTTGTTATGAAATGTAATATTATTTTCTATTACAATGTATCTACTATAAAGATAAAATTGCATGATAAGATTTCGATATAGATTGTATCATAATTCACAACTAAATTTAATATTCTCTTTAAAATGATTTTAACTTGCAATTTTGTGTCAAGTTATAAAATTTACTACTATGACAGTTAATAAGAGATAATCTAATCACATCTTTGGTTATTTTATATTTATTTCTGTTACCTATTTTACTTATTTGCTTACCATGTCCGTTATTACTATCTTTCCTTATTTTATATTACTTATACTCTTTTTGATACCACTTTTCATATGTCTTGCATATACATATGTAGGCCTATTTTAGAAACTCTTGACTTCTACGTAAGAATGCATACGATCTATGTGATCATGGTAGGTATAGATATATAATAGATAGGCATTCCCGGTACATATATCCTTTAATTTTTATTATGATGTATGAGTTATGCCAAAATATGTATACTTTCTTTTTAATTCTGTTGATAATAGTGATTAAGGCTCTCCTTATGAGAGCTATGAGATAGAAATATGAGGAAAAATAAATAGTATTTTTATGTTTTGCATAATTATTTGTGATTACCAAAATTCGGTATTTTATTTACATAAACATAATATCTATCATTACATTTTGAATTTTGAATATCCCATACACGTTGTAATTACCATGCAGAATTGCGAATATTATTATACCCTTAATCCCTGAACGGATCTCCAAATTTTTTTTTACTTTTGACATCAATATATTTTTTAATTTCTATTACCTGTCGTACCATTCGTAGTAGTGACAATCAGTACTGAGGATTTTAGGTGCATGCAATTCAATCCAGCAATTTGTTCCATCATTCAGCAGATAATAGGCAATATAACATATTTTTTTTGTCTTTAAAAAAACCAGGGTATTATAAGTGGAACTGACAGGTCATTTTTTATTCAACTTAAAAATTCTTAGAACAAATTGAACTGATCAAAGAATATTAAAATAATAAATGTAAATTAATCTGAGTCCTTTAATATTTCATCGACAGTTGAATTTTTTATTCAACCCGAGTTTGAAATATTGAGTGCCGAATCTAATTTTACTAATGAATTTACTCTCGCTGTCGCATAAAGATTTTACAACTTTTAGTTGAAAGATAAGTCATCGAAAATTACAATATTTTAGAATATTTCTTTATTGTGAATTTAGAATTTAAAAAATTGAATTTATCTTACTTTTTAAATTTTCTATATAATTATGTCACATATATTGTAATCAACTTTATATTATGTTTATAAAGCAGAATTAATATAACTATTTGAAAGATACATTTCTACTTGTCAAAATATATGTTTTTGTCATGTCTCAGACTTTATATATAATTTATTTATTTTTTCTATATCGTCATTTAGTTTAAACACTATTGGGAATGATTTTGTCAATCTTATAAAGTATATATCTTTATGTAATGTATATATCTTTTGTCAATTTTTATATCTCACGACGCTACACGCATAAATTCAATGAATACATTCAATATTTTAATTTGGGATATGTACGAAATGGGTACCTATGTATCATTTAACTAGTCATCAGTAAATAGTATCTTTGCATGAATTAGTAACATGAACTGAAACTTACGTTAATTCATCTTCAAACTTTAGAATTTATAATATATTAATGGGATATATTTCTTAGTCCCTGCAAAATACCCTGCAAGTTCTATGAAAAGTACTTTTCCACATAAGCTTGCCAGATCTCGATGCCAACCCAATCACAATTGCTCCAAATACACCCGCGGGCTTCGGATAACGAACTCCATCATAATATAGAACGATGTGAAAATTGAAGGGTTGGATTTTAGTTGGATTTGATAGCTTCAAAAATAAAATATGGTATGCTTTATATACATTTTACAATGAGAATATTCAATTATATATATATAGAAAGGTGCAGATATACGTAGATTATATATATTACCTATTATCACGCCATATCTTTATTCAAACAAAATATATAACCAATTTTTTTTAAATTATCTCATATCTGTAATTTCATCCTAGTTAAAAGATAGAATAGTTTCTATCGACCTAGACGTCACTTCAATGTATGGTCGGTTTTTTGGTATATACTATATACGTACTATATATTCCATATAAGCTACTGGATGTTTGACTTATCAGGGGCATCACATTATATTTAATATTATCCATGGTTCAGCTATGCATACCATTGAATATTATATAATAATAATAATCTCAGGACAATTCACACAGCGCCATCTAGACCCAAGTTAAGCTAGCTAAAGCTTGTGTTATGGGTACTAGATAACTGATACAGATAGATAGATATTTCCAATACAAACAATCATACTCATGAATACAAATGTTTGTGCCGTGCGAGGTATCGAACCCGCGACCATCGGACGTAAGGCGGTGTGCTATACCGCTACACCACCGAAGTCGTCAAATATAGTTCTTATAAAGTACAGTCCTGGACTATCTGTAGTCCAGGGCTGTACTCTATCATCTCTAGTCTTCTTAGACTCATTTGAAGAGCCTAGAGTCACTGAAACGTCTGAGCAATGACTAAACTGGTAAATGTGAACAAGAGACAAATTTCGTTCTCAAGACTCGAGACAATATTTTTGAGACACTCTTCTAAATCTTCTTTTATCAAGTAATAGCAGTTAAGCCAGTAAAGCCTAGTTGGGATAGATTCAAATAGGAATTAACCTCAAGGTTAACTTGTCATAAACTTTAAATTTGAACTTTACAATTTCAATGAAAGCAGACAGTTTACTGTCTTGTGGCTGCAATAAGTTATCTTAGCTTTGAGGTGTCACAGCTAAAGTTATCGGTAACCACAAGGCGACAAGCTAAATTTAACTTTAGATGACTATGCGGGTTTCTTGTATCCGAGTATGTAAAGGTAGAAATGTTATTGATAAATTTTTACTCCTTACTACAAATATCTAAAGCTACACGTTTATAGGGAAGAAAATAAGAGTATTACAAATACTTATTTTTTGCCTTTACTACAAATACTGATAATTATTTTTACGCTTTCCCACCGACTAACGCAGACTAACCTCATAATATTTTGTATGCAGTTATATTAATCTCACGCTAGTAAAAGGGATTACCAGAGTATAAATCATTCAATAACATGAATTCATTTAAAATTTAATATTTTAAAAACAAAAATAAAAGATGCATACGTTACGTTAGTATTTATTTATTTATCAATATTGAAAAACACAGTTTTGTATTGTGCCGACTTTAAATAATCACACAGATTGAACATATTTGATTACCTCAAATTTGTGTAGGTAAATAGAAGGCTGTTTATAATACATAATATTTATTTTTTAATTTATTGCATCCTATTACCGATTACAAATTGAAATCGAGTAGCAAATGGACATATAAAGTATATAAATAAAAACGAGTCAATGTTATATAACCGAGTTATATTTTCGATAGGTTCGTCTATTCAGCGAGCAACATTGTACGGTAAAACTTTATTTGGAGCCAACCACTATCACTGGATTGTTACTTTTCGTACAGTGAAACTTCTATGAAAACCAATATGAAAACTTACATTGTAACCCTTTTGCGTCATTGACTGCCAATATACCAAATTATATAATATGCTAACTATTTCAGCTCGAAACATTGAATTTATTTTTAGTTACAATTTTATTAGCCTATATGATTACGTCGCCTAATACTATTATTATTATTATTTATTTATTTCGGGCAACTAGGCCCATACCATAAATACCTTATAGTTTAACATACATATGAAATATTTTAAAACTTATATATTGATCTTGTTTGTGTGGTCATGGCTCTGGCGACGGCAATCTGCCACGGTAGCGCCGATACACCACATCCTTCGGCTAGTAGTCCTCCTTCATGAAGGTGGACAGCTATATATAAGTATATTGTAATAAACGACGGAAGTACGGTTGACAAACTAAGCATGTCACTACCATAATTATCTCATCTGTGCTACTACTAAATATGTAACAAAGACTATGAATAAGTATGTATGGCATTAAAATACCATCTGTAAACCGTCTAAATATTTTACATCGAAAATATTATCCAGAAACTTTGAATAGAATTTCTGCAAGGGTCAATTAGTGTCAATTAGCCTAAATTATAGGCAAAAATTGACAAGGTCACTTTCGATACCTATTTAGATTTCCATCTGTGTATACCTCCTAGACCCCAAGTAATCTTATCTAACTACCTACCTACTTATACTTTCATCACCCCCGTCCATTTAATAAAGACCTCTACATTCTGCACGCTTTCGTAGGTAAGTATAATAAATAGAATGAGTCAAGTTATGACAGAGGAAAAACACTGCTTGTAATAAATGAATATGAGCTTTATCTTGTCAAGAAACTGCTTCGCAGTTCGGCAAGTACTGATTAAGGATTCTTGAACCTGCCCTTTTGCGAAGAAAATAATATCAGTCTGATATTTTACTAAAAATGTGTATATATTTGTGTATTGTAGATTATGTATTGCAAGAGTTTGGTCATCGTCTCACGTACTTCTGTTGTCATCAATCTCTTGTGCTACTTGGGTTCCTCTTTAAAAGGTGAAATAAAACATTTAAATCACAAAAACAACATTTCATGAATGAACAATGACAGGTATCACACCCTCCGGAATATATTCTGAGTTGTGAATGTATACAAGAGTTGGTTACAAATTATGAGCGTTGGGTGGACAATTTCATTACCATTCCTCCATCCATCATAAAATAATTGAAAACTTGACTATCAATCCATCTAGTCCGCATAAAAATGGTAGTTAGTACCATTTTTTATTCAGCAGTGCACATCCATCCATATCCTTAATAAATTCCATTGATATTTGAATGACTTGGATTGGCAACTATTCTATATAATTGATGAAGAATAAATTTATTCTTCATCGTCGTCTTCGTCATCATCAGCCATCGTAGTATTAGTACCGAGGACAGTATTGACGATAGTTTTCAAAGCTTTTCTGGCACTCTGACGCAAAAGTGTAAGTTTGAATTGCATCAGTACAATCAGATAAGTTGACATAAATGATATGTTCTGAAAGAAATTGAATTTGTTCTTTTTAACTAGTCTCTGTTTTTAATATTATTTTATTAATATTTTTCAAGATTTAACAAAAAATCTAATTGAAACAAGTATTTCAAAATTACATTTAATAAAATGAATTATATTTCTACAAAAGTTGAAATTGAATTGAATGTTTCAATACTGCAAATATAATTTATATAAAAATATACATTTTATTAAAATAGTCACAATTTTCAGCAATGAACTTTATAAAATATAGCATTTTTTATGCTTTTTATATTTTTACCAGAAATGTCGAAACAGAAATGGCTAAAAATGGAAAACTCATTACTTTCATAAATAAATTTTATGTGGATACTTACAGCTGTAAAAAGTTCCCGATTTATATTGGTAAAACCATCCAGATTCATAATGGGTGGATTCTTAGCAATCGCAACAAGGAACATCTCAACTTCACGCTGAGTGCTACGATCTATAGCTCCCAAGTTTACGTTTAGAAGGCGAACTTGAAATTCTAAACCTACCTGAAAGTTACATTTTCAGTGTAATAGAAATTTACAAATTAATTCATCGTATTTACTACATTATATTATATTTGGTTTTGTTCTCTGTAATATCACTGCAAGCTGCTAATGAATAAAAAAAACCAAATAGGTGATATTGTGTAAATCTTGCTTCCTTTTTAATATTTGATAATAATAGGGAAAATATTATAACATTTTGATTATAATAGTTACTTAAACTATTATTGTACGAACTGACCTTTCTCGAAGCATGATACGCCTCATTACATATAATAAACAGTAAGGTCATGCAATAGCCGACTATGACGAAGAGACCCATCTCTTTATAGCTGAGGCCGTGTTCCAATATCTCTGTTAACGCACCGTAAAGCGATATAGTGGTTGTGAAGAATATAACCATGCAGTAAATTCCGTACATATTAGAGTATGCACGACCTGCAAAATAACATACATTTCCATTTAAATGAAATACAGTTGACAACCCAATTTACAGTATATTTAAACTGTTGATGTAGGTTAGTATTTCTAACATGCCTTTTGAAGTATTGAGGCTATAGTGTAATACTCTAAAATTCCTAACTTTAGAGATACGATGGATTTGAAGTTATTTTATTTTTAAAATTGATTCTAATATGTATACATGTTATATACATTATGAAACGTTATGAAATGTATAAATTATTTAAAACTTTTAGAGCTCTCATATTACTTTTAGAGATCTCATAAATAAAAAAAATAATTGAAAAAGAAATCGTTTTCACTATAAATCCATTATGAACATATATAACTTTAAGAGATCATTAGCGTGATATATTATATTTATTTTTACAAAATATACTGTAAAATAAACGTGAATAACTCGGTCTCACACTTGAACAATCGCTAAGCATCTTACTTTTTGGTACATGTTACGGGCGAAATAAGTTTGGGAAATTACAGGATTTGAGACACGATACGAGTAGTTTGGTCCACCTCAATGCAACGCAAGATTAGTATCATGGGTTTCATATGATAAAGTGATGTCAGTAGCGTTGTTCAAGTAAAATGACTTACCTGAGCTACCTTTACATATACCTACACATAGGTAAAAGTTACTACTTACCATCTGGTATCCCGTCAGCATGTTATGTGATTACAATTACGTAAAATAAGTTCTCCAAAATTGATATAGATATATTTGTTATCACTATAAAATTTTACAATATCTTGCATGACTCAGAAATAAATGTACGTATCTAGTAACAGCATATTTTGTTTTTATCCTATATTTATAACTTCAAGATGCAAATAGTAGTCATATTTGAGACTGTAATATTTCCTTAGACTTACCCAACTGTTGCATCATATGTGACAGGTCTACCCATAAATGGCGGTACTGGGCGAGTTTTAGAGCTGGATGTTCCGCTTCTAGAGCTTTATGGAGATTCATTGCCAGACCGTGAGATGCAGTACTGAATGCGTTACAGTTGATGTACCTACAGATATCATAAATAAGAATAATTCACATATAGTACCATCTACATAGATCCAAATTAAGCAGATATTGCTCTGTACCTGGTAAACAACTGATAGAAATATTTTTTTGTAAATACATATGTAATATATATCCTACATAACATATACCCAAATATACATACTCATTTATACAAAAGTTTGTATCGTGCTGTAATTGAACGTGCAACCATCGGAAGATAAGGCCGTCATAATGTATAAAAAGTATGCAACGAATTTTGGTAAGGTTATGAATATCATTTCGAGAATTTCTTTAAAAGAAAGAAGGGTTTATATTGATTTGAATGATTATATTTCAGCATATAGCTGAAGCTGAAATATAATCATACGACCTTCGTCACATATTTTGTACGTATACCCGTGCAATGCCGAGATCGGACAATAGTATGATTATAAATTATATACTTTAATTATTCAATATGTTTATATATTCAATATGTTTTAATAATCGACACCAGGGAGGCACTGTTAAATGTTTCATACTATCAGTTCAAAGTAAGAAAAGGTTGTGTAATATTACATTATTATAAGTCTTTGATATAAATAAGTACTGAATATAAAGTTTTTAATTAAAAAGTTAATTACGTTAAATAGAACAATCAATGAGCGACGATAATCAGGTTATCGAAAATTAACAAAAACCCTTGAGCAAGAGTCAAAAATTACTTCTATTTTTAATTAAAAAGTATCGTGCCTCAGCCTAACTAACATAGAAATTAAAAGAAAAGCTATTCAGATACAATATTTAACTTTCCATTAAAGAATTAATAATTTTATATATTTCTAGAATTTGCATTACAAAGAGTACCTAATAGTTTTTATGTATTCAAAAATGACTAAAACCAAATTCAAATTTGATTAAATTTGCAATAAAGATAGATGGTATAAACCTTAATATAATGTACCTAATTTTTTTTTTCCACACTTACATCTATTTTTACAGGTCTTAGCCTAATACAATGGTACAAAATTTTAGTTGGTAGATTAGTTCAGAACCAATATATTTGGCTCTGAACAGTGCAACTCATCATTATTAAATTGGCACACTCGCAGCATATGAAAGAAAATAAGTTACTTCTTTTCCTGGTTAATTCCCAGTGACATGGCCGAAATTGCGGATACATCCGCAACTTAATTATAGTGTAACATAATAATAAAACTGGTAAAGTGCGAATTGGTCTGGTACACCGACACCTTCTAACAAATGTAACGAATAGGTTTTTATTTTCAGCGACCAGCTGCTCTAATGATATATATTAGGCATTTTTTATGTAATTGTGAGTGGTAACCATGACGCCAATGACCGTGAGCTGTATATGGACAGCACTACGGACATTTTGTAATCATGTCATTGTCGGGATATCATCTCATGACTCATGCGCTGCCATTCTGGAGGACTAACATATCTTGCCTCTTATTATAATTTCACAGTCTTAAACTATCCTTCAGCTAAAAAACCGTATACAAAGCAAGCTACTTAGCAACTGAAGAAAGTGGAAAGAAAGTCTTTCTCACTAAAATTTATATTAATACAAAAATATATACCATAGAGAACAAAAGCCGTCCAGCATCGCAATAATGTGATAGTATGCAAACGAGTGCCATAATTCGAAGTCATCTTGCAGGTAATGTTGAGATAGAACAACGGTGAAGCTGAGACCCCATGAGAAAACACATAGGCCCCATGTTAGATAATAAAGGTTCGGGAATATAATTGGGGTGCCCGTTATTTTGAGGTATTTCAACTGCAATAAACAAAATTGTAAATATTAAATTGGTAAATATTTTATTAAACTTAAAATAGGTTTTGAATTTGTGTGAATCTATTTTGTCAATAATATATTTGAAAAAATAAGAAATCGACTTTGATGATTATTTTTAATGTAAAAATAATAATAGTGTATAAGTCTTGAGTTGATCCCATAGAAATTTTGAGGATTGAATACAATTTATTTGTCGAACTAAAAATACTTCATAACTGAAAGATTCGTTCATAACTTTATAGATGGTTACTATACAGATGCGCCATTAGTTTTACTTATTATTATGTGTTTATTTCAATAATTTATTATGTGTGTTATTTCAATAGTATAAAAATTAAACACGTAATAAATTTACTAAAGCTTGCGCTTAATCCACTGTATACTAAATTAATGTCACATATTGTTTTACTATTTGTGGCCTATGCATTATGTGTCTTGGATATGATATGTGTATGTACCTTTCGTTCAATAATTTTAATAAAAAAAGTAATTCTATTAAAATAGTAATTCTATTAATCTATTAAATTCAATTTTATAGGAATTTATAACTAAAAATATCACCTGATAATGGGTCCACATATTTTTGAATATAGCAACTTGTGGCCCGTGTCGCCACGACGCTATCGGAAGAAGGAAATGAGGTATGAGGATGCTCAAAAAGATGATGTTATAGATAATTTCGTCGAATCGCTTGTAGGAACTCTGCTGGAAATTTGTTAGGCGTTCCCTTCCCACTGTAACAAAAATATATAATAATACGCAATATCATAGATGCTCTGATAAACGTAAACGAAATAAAAACTATTCAGAAACCGTAACAAATAAATAAGTGTTAGAAATTTCTATGTGACTCTCTGTATCTCTGTCTGTGGGATCGTAACTCCTAAAAGGTTAGATCGGTTATATTAGTTATTTTTTGTTCAAAAATAGACGCAATCGAGATGATTAGATTTCTCACCTTTAACTACTATTATACATTCCAAGCCCCATACAAGATAAGCCCATAACGTGGCTTTGGAAATCCAATTATATGTTGTCCTTCTTGCTGTTTTTGCTCCTGTAAAATTAATAATTATTCTATATTAATAATTTTTGTAGAATACCTTATATTATGTAATTGAAACAGCAAATAACTGGACTGACGACTGCTTAAAAATACCGTCACTACATTATCAGTACCACGTATATCAGTTCATTGTGTATTGTTTATTTGACTCCTCATACTAGCATAAACTGTTCTTGTGAATGAATAAATAATTTATCATATTTGGTATATGATCCTTTAAACCACACAACAGTTTAAAAAGAAAGCTGCTTGACTTCTAAGTAAATACGAAAACTGCTTCTCGTATCGAAATCATACATACAAAAGAGAATCATGTACGATATTGTAAAATCTATAATGCAAATTCATTGTACGCTAGGCACCTATTGATTGCGAAATCTAAAGTTACCGAGAACGTGTCATAAAGTAATTTTTCGTATCCATAATGCGGTTGTTGATAACGTATGTTGCCATTAAATTTTATAGACGAAGTTTGATCCCAGACACACTGTGCTATAATGTCATCGGATTTCACGACCAACACGAGAGAAGTATGAAACTTTGTCTCGAACAATCTTGGGTTTTAAAAGTTATTGAATCTTGAAAATTTTTTCTTTGTTGAAACGCGAAAAGTTAAAACGGGAGCTACATTTAATTCAAGGACACAATTCAGTTTTTTTTTCGTATTTCTTTTGTGCGTGGCCCTTAATGTTTAATTTTCAAAGTTTTAATGCTTTTTAAAAGTACTTAATATTCTTGAGATGTTTATTTATTTCGACAATAATAATTATATATTATTATGTGAACTTATGACAACCATTGTATTCCAAAATTTCGTGCGTAATAAATTCATTTTAAAAAATCGTTTTATCCTGTAGATCTCTATACATTTATGAAATTTATGTATGTATATCATTATCAAATATAATTTGATGGCTACGCATTACATACTTGGTTTTAGGTAGTATTTACGTCAATTGCAGCTGAATTAGTTTAATTGAATTGAGTTAACATCACTTAGACTATTTAATTAATAAATTATTTACCGTTATTTGGCTAAATTAAAACTAACCTTTTGGCACTCTCATTATTGGCATAATACCCATAATTTGAAACAGAACGAGTAAACTCTTTGTTGTTATATAAAAGCTATCATGTTCATCCAAAAGTTCACCGTCTTCATCAGTTACTTTCGGTCCATACAAATCAGCTATTTCGTAATCTGAAAAGATACATTAAGCATAGATTTTGCATAATCGACTTCAATAATAGACAAGCGGCCCAGTGTTCCACCACAGCGAACACATGTTCACTCAACAGTTCTATAAAACGGTTTCACTATTGGCTCGCGTCTGATTTACCTACCTATAACTCTATGTTTTGTATATAATTTAAAGCCTTTCTCGCACTAGAATAATATGACTTCCAGACAGAAAAATATTGTCAAATCGGTGCAATGATCCCGGAGTTTACTTTCCTCCTAATAAAAGCCGCTCTATATATTCATATTGTCAGTATAGATGACTATGCCCTATGAATATTCAGTAAAATCACTGAAGTAATGTCTAAACCAGATCACAATTTATGTGTGCTTACTGGCAAGATATCTTCATAGAGAATGAGAAAAGAAAGAGAATGTGAAATTCTTAAGTCCGTGTGCATGCTATGTGGAGGATAATTTCCAAAATTATTATAAAAAATATCTTATCACTAATATTTAAAACGAGGTAAGCTTATTACGCATATTTTTCAAACAAGGCAAGGTCGAGACAGGCCACTGTTATAACATAAATTATGACCTACATAGATTAAAAAAAGTAGCTACTTTTTCTGTTTACACAAATAACGAAGAACACAAAATTAAGCCAAAGACCTGATTAAATCTTATAAAACTTTATACGACTTGTATAATTTAAAATGCAAATAATATTTTGAGACAAAAGATAAGACGAATTCGCCCGTAATCTTGTCCCATAAGGGCAATGAATTTTGGTCGCATAATTCTAAACTTTATTACTTCTTGCCTATAAAACTCCTTCTTACGATTCGACCACAGTATAAATATAGTAAATAGTATTTTAAATATACAGTTCTTTTATTATTTCTGAAAATATAACAAACAACGGTAATAATATAGAAAGAAATTATAGTTATAATTAAAGATTGAATAATAATAACTCGTATTCATATTCAAAGCCTTTTTTATAGATTATCTGTATTGTGAGGTCTAATCCACATGATTGTAAAAGAAAGTCCTACATGGTATATGGGTACATCCTATATGGTACGACCTATTTGAGTAGGTACCTTTCATATCAATCCAATTAGTATTTATTTCATCTAAACTTTCTCGTTTATTATACATATTAATAATATGTAGATACAGAGAGACACCAGATCGGAAAATAAACTGCTGTATATGATATTAATATGAAATACAGTAATTTTCTTATTATGTAGATATTATTTTCCTTCGGGTTATTTCAATTCAGTTACCTTTATTATCATTTCCGTTTTTTCCAAACATATCTCTTCCCCTCATCTCCTCATTCTGATTCGGATTGTACATCCGAAATTTCGGATTGTTTCTGTTCATTATCTGTCCAATTTCGGTGTATTGCGTGGTTGAGTTCTATCCCCTTCTGTGGAACCGAATATGCCCTGAAAGCTTGTATACAAAATACAACATAATCAATCATAACCCACCCTTCTCGACTTACTTGGTTATGCGCGTTTGTCATTGAATTACTATAGAGTTGTCATATAAAATATTTTTTGTTTGCTGTTCATTACAATTTTTTTAAGTAATGCTAAGCCTTTAAATAGCCTAAATAATAGTGAATTTGAAATTATTATAAAAATAACTGCAACTTATAATAGTCAAATACAAAATAATAAGAGAAGATACTTATGAGGCTACTTAACAAGACGTTATAATGTTTTTTTCAAATATTAATATACTTATTGTATGTTGCCCACTATTAAGAATAATATATAGTGTCAAGCATGAAACAACATAGTAAGAATCTGAGAATATATAGAGGACATATAGACAGACTCCATGGTTGTAACTGTTCTTAGACACCTTCCGCGAAGCCGTATACCGATGACGCCGCTGCGTCGCTTGACAGCCATTAATTCATATTTCACACTAATGGCGACTTTCTAAAACACTTAACGACTCTCTAAGTGAGATGTTAGCTTCTTCGTGTTCGAACCTAAACATTAAATTTTCATAATGAACGTATCGGCAAACACCAGACCATGAATAACCAGGTTATGAAACAAATATGTCATGGAAGTGTCAGATGTGTAGTACTGGAGTTTTCTACAGGATGTATCAGATACATAGCTGAATATACTCTTCCTGGCTCTATAAATGAACTATTGTAAAAACGTAATCTAATTTATTAAATGTTGAATATTTAAAAAAAGTGTTAGATGTTATTAGAATCTTTTCGGTTGGCCGTTAAATTTTTATCCATTGCAATACTGGTATTGGACTAAGAACCTATTCGTAAAATATCTCCGTCTCATTTGATTTGTGAGCCGTTTTTCAGTTTTATATGGTAATAAACTTATAGAATACGGTGCCATCGTTTTCGGAATGGCAAAGCATAAGACGCAACATGTCCTCATATGATGAGGTCCGTAATCCGTAGTAGAGTACATCGACGGATACAGTATCACATGAACTATCAGCTTGATTGTTGTTCCAAATTAGTTATGCCAAATTACAAAAAAAGGAAAGATAAGGGAAGGAAGGAAAGATCTTACCTTACTGACTTATAAATATACATACGTGTGCTATATTCTCCAATTTTGTGTTATTTATAAGCCTTCTTACAAATAAATGTGACATTACGTTACGTTATTAAAGAAAGAAAATACAATTTCACAAAAAAATTGCGACGATCTTACTAGATAAGCAAGCATGTTGTTTTGCATACCTAAATGTCTTCCCCAAATTTGATTTTCGGTTGAGCCAATTTATGAAATGAACTTTTTTAAATTACCTCATTTGACTTGGGTCAGGATTTTCTAAATTGTACTACTCTTAAATATTCGTTAGCCCGTTTTCCGTAGCAGGATATTTTGTTGTTAAATACTAGAAAATTAATATTACTTAAAAACATTATTGTCTATATATTGTAAATAGTTTTACAGGCAGTTTTTTAATAAGTGATAGTGAGATGGCACTTCCCCCTGTTAGCGCTAACAGTTATTACTAACAGGATGTCAGCTATCATGACTTAATTCACCGGGAATAAACCATGATAGTTTCCAGAGAAGGTCGTTTGAAGATCAACCCGATATCGTTGGTGGTTTCACCAGTGCCGTTACTCAAAATCCCTTCCTCAATGTTAAAGGTAGTAAATATCCATTTTCACGCCTCGTCACAATAAATTAATGAAGGTAGTTAATATGTTATTCGACTTATTTACATAATCGTTAGGCCAGGATGAAAGGATCAGAGGCATTATTAAAACACACGATGTCATCAGGTAAATTTTAATTAAGCGGTTTAAATAAAGTATAGGCTGTTTAGGTCCGCAAAATTCTGCGGACGCCGTAAAGTTTAATTTTGCATGAAAGTTTAACATTTTTACGTATAATTTGTAAACATGTTGTGAATGATTTTTTTCTGTAAGAATAACAAAATGTTAGAAGATATATGTAAAAGTAGTATTGTGATTTTTTTCTGTAACACTTTTGTAATTAACCAAGATATATCCATTAAAGTATTTATATGGTGTAAGTGCAACTGATATGTAATACCATCATTGAAAATAGAATTGTTACAAGAAGGACGCTCAGATTTCATTATTTTAAAATCGAAAATTCAGTATTCGAAATTAATCAATATAATTGTTAATAATAAATGTACAATATTATTTATTACCATTAAATTGTGAACTACGTAGGAAATATTCCTGAGCAAAGATGAGAGGCTGATCTTGCATTTTTGTGCTCTAAGATGTTCGGAATGTGGAAGAGGTTCTTAGGAGGATACGATTTTGACTAGCGAAATCGTATCTCTCCTTCGATCTTTAAAGTTATCTGTTTTTTGTAACAACACAACAACAACAAATAGACTGTTATTTGTTTTTACTACGGATTTCTAATTCAATAATAATGAGATCACAGAAATTCATTTAAGTTTATTTTATAAAAATTATATACGTATATACTAATCTTACTGCCAACGCTATCGAATTCAGTTTTATAGTTTTCAGACAATAAAATATCGAAAAATTATAGGTACGTAAAAAAATTATAACCATTCTATACGGTTCATAATTTAATTCCGCCTAAAATGTTGTGTAGAATAATACGAACTCGAAACAAGAAAACAGAAGCAACAAGTTGTTAATCCAAAGTAAGATTACAACTGGATCCAATTTCACTGTGACATTAACGCTAACCGACTAATTGCTCCAAAATGTTTCACTCACGACATACCTATTTGTTGGGGCTATACATACATTCAGGTTTGGGAGTTATACTATAATAAAACCCAAGTTAAACTATGTAAATTAACTATGTCTAGGCAAGCAGGTAATTATATCCATTTGTATCCAATTTCTCCTAGCTTAATTGATTTATTAGGAGTAGATAGACCCAATAAATCAATGCAGATATTTTTACTATTCTGTGCAACAATTTAATTTAATTTAATTTTACATAAAACTAATTCGGTGGCTCGACACCTGTATTTAGTATGTTTTATACACAAATTGATATTATTATTACTAAAGTAAATAGAGCAGATGTAAAATTTTATTTATTATATTTCGGCTTTTATCATGAGCGTCACATATGGTATGCGAATCGTGGACAGGACCAGAGACATAATACAACAATGCCGCCACTCTCTGGCGCTTATGCCTATCCATAGACTCATAATATAAAAAAATATTTGCTAGCTACAAGCCAATTATGTGGCTTCACTCATATTACCCCTGATTAGCGTCCTGCGATTATATAATATTCTAAGTAAAGTTGCTAAGACCGCAGCGCTGACGCAGTGACTCGGACCTCATATGCCGTGATACCTTACCTAATTTCTTTACATTTTAATGACACAGAACAATTGTCATCTCTATAATTTATTTAATAAAATAAATAAATTAGAGATGACAATTGTTCTGTGTATTATTTATTGACATCAAACTAAGTGAGCCTTACAGCTTCCCAATATGCTCACTTAGGAAAAAATGTACAAAATATGAATAATTACAAAAAATATATGTATTAAAAATAATAACAACCGACAATTAGGAAATCCATTGCCATTCTGCTAAAATTCAACAAGTCACATGTAAATATGTCCAGGTCACGAAATCGATTAACGACACCGTTGAGTAGACTCAGTCCAAGAGTAATGGGAGCCTGCATGGCCAGCTCTGTTTTTCTCCAAGGAACATCAAATAAGTGCCTTCGACGTGCTTGTACATAATTATTGGGCGCTCGTATGAATATTGATGCTAATACCGTTTGGTTGCATTTTTCCCCTCTTAACACTTTAACTACGTACTCCGTCAATACAGTCTTACGTCTTACTTCAAGTGTATCATAGCCCATCATCCCCAATAAAAACAAATTAGGATATACATTAGGATATGACACTTTGTAGCCATACTCCCTTTGATATATATATCTTATGAATTTCTTTTGGACTTTAATTAACTATACTCATATCATTTGTAATTTTAAATAAATTATAGTAAAAGTAACTGCATTATTTTTATCATTTTTATGTGGCCTCCGTAATTTGTGTATATACTTGTATCATGTTTGTCATTCTGTGTGTGCAAAAAGCGTATGAGGTACATTTGTAACGGAACATTTGGCATTCCATTGTTCCTGCCCATGCCCATTGGGTAGACTAACACATTCACATAATGAATATTAACACTCATTTGGGCGCTATTATTATACCATAGAAGCCTATTAACTCATCGTTTAAAACAAATTACAGTTGTTTATAGTTTACGTACATTTTAATGTCGTAATAAATAAAGTCAAAGTTACATTATCAGCAAATAACATACAATATGTTTTATTTGACATTTCTATAATTATTGCATGCGTACTAAGCTATTATGGTCGCTAGTGTAATATAAAGTAACAAAATGTTACTTATGAAAACATATTTAAGAAAAGATATTGTCGTTGTCTGTCAAAGTTCTTTATTAGACTAGAATAGTAAAATAGTATACAATAACATTATAAAATTCTTAATAATTAAAAAAATATTTTTTATTATTAAGAATTTTATAATTTTGATAATTACATGAACTATAATATATAGTATGTGGCCAGTACGTCAGCAATAGATATAATTGGTAGAATCACCAACAAAATGATATTTAAATCGAGTATGTCGATATCTGTGTGATGTGGAGTTCCGAAGTAGAAAGGAAATTACGTTCTTATAATCGACATAGGTTTCTATTTCAGTCCGCTGAAATTTTTTATATTTTATGGTGGAAGTAGGCAAAAATAGTACGCACCTGGAGTTACTAATTGTATTTTGTAATTGAAATAAATAATTTACAAAGTATTTAAATTATAAATCATTTCAGTGGTAATAGTTATATATAAAAA